CAAATTATAATTTGGTCAAGTACTCACCATCGGGAAACAATATGCTTTCAATGAATAAATTACATATTAATTTCAACCAACATTACTGCACAACTCATCTCAGAAACATGATTGAGATATGACAAACATACAGGTAGAAGATTCAATCCATTAAAACACACACATGCAAAAAGCAAACCTAAATTATAACGCCAACTCAAGCTACAAAAACCCAACTTGTTGAGCACCAGTCAACAAGTTTTATAGGCAAATTGAAATCAAGTAGAAATTACTTCAGCAGTAACACCTTCATTTTTTCAGCCAAAGATGCCAACTTCCTTTCAATATCAAAAAGCACATTCAATTAGTCCCAAGATGTGGGATATAGATACCTAGTCTTTTAGATTCCAAAAACAGAGTTCTTTTTCTTCAAACAAAAATATCTTAAAACAAAGGAAAGAAGAAAATGGAGTAATAATTTCACAGCAATCTTCTAAAGAAACAATGAGATTGACAATGATTATGGTTCCAAAACAATACTAGGCATTAAATTAACACAAATGTTGAGAAAAATATGAAGAGCATAGAGAGAGAGAGAGAGATCATAAATAATACTTCAGCTAGGAATAATTTCAACTCCTACACAAATCACAAGCAGATAAAGAAAAATGATATCAACATATATTCCTATTAAATTACAGTAACATATCAATATAACACAAAAAAAAAAAAATCAATATAACAGCAATACCATAGCAATACAAAAATAATATCACTACAATACAACTGCAATAAAACAACAATACAATTGTAATAGCAAATTGACAATGCTACCTCACTATGATATAATCATAACAAGTTCATAGAAAATCCCAATACCAAATACAAGAATCAATCAACAAAAAGAACAAACACATTTGTGGTTTCAGACAAACAAAATGAATCCTAATACTTCACTTTCTACACAAAATATAGACAAAATCAATCACAATTCCAATTTCAGTAATCAAATTCAATTTAACATCAAAACTTACATATTCCCAACAATTCATTTTCTAGAGAAGCTGTTCCTAAAGAGGGCATGTAAACCTTAACTTCAAAACCCCCCAAATTGGACGAAAATGCTCAAACAATGGCCACCTAATGCCAAGACATGCGGTCATATTCAAAAAAGATGGTTTTTTTTGGGTTTGCTTAGGTTGTAAAAGGGATTCGAAGAGAGATGAAGTTAGGATTCAGATTGGGGTAATGAAGAAAACAGAGAGGAAGATGAAGAACTAGGTTTTGAGGGCAAAGCTGTGGGTTTTGTAGGTTGTTCTTGATCTTCTTCTTCATGAGAATAGGTGTAGTTAGCTAGCAGAGAGAGAGTGGTGGTGGTCACAGAGCAATGATAGGGGGGAGAGAGAGAGAGAGAGAGAGAGAGAGAGAGCGTTGAGAGAGGAAGAGAGAATTAGGAGATAGAGTTGAGAGAGAGAGCGAAGAAAGAGCAGAGAGAGAACAAAAACTGAACAAAAGTGTTATTTGGTCGATAAGTGGGCAATAAGTATGTATTTATAGGTGATGTTTGCAAAATTTGTGGGAAAAGATGGTATTTCCAGATAAAATTAAAAAAGCAATGTCATTAAGTGTTATTTCCCAAAAAAATATCGCAAGGGAATATAACTCAACTATTTGAGAACATTTTATAGGGGAAATTATTTAAATAATTGTTTTTTGTTGAGAAAATGATTAAAGTAATTAATTTAGGACGGTTAGATGAAGTTAAGGTCTAAATTATAGATGATTTTGGAAATATCGGTAGTCAAAAAATACGGAAATTTATGTAAAAATATAGGGAAATTATCGATATCAATAAAAATTGAATAAAAATCACGAAAATTGTAAGAAAAACTTGAAAAAATTTCTTAAAACTTTGGAGGATGTTTATTTAGTTAATTATCTATTACTTTATCACAAAAAATTGAAAGGAAATACATTGCATGATGGGTTTAATTGATTTAAGTTGATTATACAGCGAGCTGACAAACATTGCAAATATATAAAATAAATAGTAATTAATGAAAGAAGAATAAAAACACACCATAATCATTTATTTATAATGATTTACGACAATATTTTACACTTTATACATTGCACGGTAAGATACAAGAGTGGCTTAGTACCACATAGAGATCCTATAAGGTTCAAATTTGAGTTATTTACACTAACACCCCCTCGGGTTTTCAGTTTTTCACTAAACTCCTTGAGGTTTAAGAAATTAAAAGAACACCCCCTGAAATTTTAAATTGTTTTCACAAAACTCATTTTCATTGATTTTATATCTAAAGATTGATGATTTTATACAAAAAAAAATTCTCCAAATGACAAAGTTGGTCATTGAGATTAGATTGAATATACTTCATTGAGGTTAATTTTGTCATCTACATAAGTTTTTTTCAATGAAATCATCAATTTTTGGACAAACTGGAAACCTCAAAGGGTATTCGTGTAATTTTTGAGACCTAATGGGGTTCTGTGAAAACACAAGAAACCTCAAGGGGTGTTAGTTTCAAATTTTTCACTGTCTTCATCATCTCGATATTATCAATATTAAAGCGATATTTTGGCCAAATGTTGCTGATGTGTGAGAGAAATTATCGAGTTGATATTTTTTGATATTATCGATACTTATACGATATGTGTATAAACATGTTCCAAAATATCCTACATCAAAAAACAATAATATCCTCGATATTTCGTCGATATTATCGATATTTTAGTCCGTGGATGAAGTTTAGTCAGTGTTTTTTTATTTACTAAAAAAGAAAAAAAAAATCCTACTAACATTAACATATTAATTGAAAAAAATAATTTTGATCAAAAAATAATTTTTATAAAAAATTCTAAAAATATATATTTGTTAATTAGAGTAAACTGTTGAATTACCCTTCGAATTATCACCAAATTTTCGATTTCTCCTGTAAATTTGTTTTTTAGTCAATTAAAGATACAAACTAATTTGCTTTGCTAATGTCCCCCTACCTTCAAATTCCCTAACATTTCATCCACTTCATTAAGGGAAAAATTGTCTCTTTCACAACCTTCTCTTTATTTTCTTCATTCCTCCCCCAAATTCAAGACTATATATTTATAAAGAAATAAAACCAATTTGATTCAAAAAAATAAAGAAACACTATTAAGGTCTCAAAAACCTCCTAATTAGAAAAACAATAACCCCATCACCGACACCTAGCAACGACAAACCAATGACCCACACCACGACACCAGCAACAACTCCTCCACTCTTGTTTACCCTGAAAATTTAGAATAGGCTTTGAGGAAGTGTGAGTTGCGAGCATGCTACTATTAGCAAAGTTAGAATTCTAATAGACTTGAAAATAAAGAAAATATAAATAAATAAAGACTTGCACACCAAGTAAATAACTTAAAATCAAACGATTGTGAATTGAAACGGTAAACTAAATCAATGAGGTTCTTTTCTATGCCTTAAGACAAATAAGGACTTCATAATTCTCTAGCACAAATGAAAAAGGGAGTAAATCAAAGTAAAACAAAAGCAGTACAATAATGAAAACAGATGGGCAAATCTTTTACGACTTACCTTTGCTAGCTATCAAAGATCAATAATGCATCACAATGAAACTATGATGCCTCAGGTCTAAGGACTAATTTGCATTATTGCAACTATGAGTTCTCGTTTGACATGTAGATAAAGCTTCGTATGAGAACTACAGTTGATTGCATTCAATGTACTCAATCACTATTGAGCACAATCTACACAAATGGTTTGAGATTAGTCATACTCCTAATTGAGCATACACAGTATGTGCTAATCTTGATGGTTTATCAATGTCCATTTGATAACCCTATGATTAGGAACATTTTAGGATACTAAAGTTAGAAATTAAATGTCTCATGAATCTAATCTTTTTTAGAGTACTTTATCTCTTATTTAGCATACCCCGGACATTTGTTTCTTTACTCGATGCAAAAGATAACAAAATAAACTTGCCCTTTATTTATTTTACATGAAATATATTCTAAAGAGATTACATCAAATGCAATATGCAGTATGAATATTTCTTTAAAATAATAATATATATTTTTTAAATAAATAAAAAAACAGGTTTCTCACAAGTTTTTTTCGATTATTTTCAGCCCAATTCGGCTCGATTTCCATTTTCCGGTTTGAATTCCCATCCCTACTCAATATTGACAGAGAAGTAGATGAAATGTTAGGGAATTTGACGGTAGGGAGACATTAGCGAAAAAAGTCAGTTCGTATCCTTAATTGACAAAAAAAAATTCAAGGAAAAAATTGAAAATTTGGTGATAATTCGGTAGTTTACTATTGTTAATTAAGTACACAAGTGTAAGAACGTTTTGGATCCCTTTTTTTTAGCTAAAAAATAATTGTTTTAGTTCAAAGCTCATAATTCGCATTTGGTAAAGCCCATATTTTAAAAGCTCAACTCAAAAACCACTTAAAAAAGCCCCAGTTTTCAAAACAAAAAAGTGAGGTTTTACAATTCTCTCTCTCTCTCCCATTGGTCTCCTCAAAGCCTGATCCAACTTGGACTTGGACTTGGACTTGTGGACTTGAGGGTGGTAGTCAGGGGGTAATTAGGGGGAGGATGAGGAGTGGGGGTTTGCGAGGAGAAGAAAACCGCAAGTGAGGTGGGGTTCTGGTGTGGTCCCCAGGAAATTTTTTTCTCTTTTTTCTTTTTGTTTATTTTTCTTGAATTTTTTTGAAATCTTTTTGTTTTTTGGTAATGATTTGATAGATTATTGAATGATATATTGTTGATTTAGACAGTACGGAAGAAATTAATAATAAAAATTATTTCATGTACTTAATTTTCTTAAAAAAGAGTTGAAGTAACAGATTAAAAATAGCGTACAAATTTAAGGGGTAAATCGAGTTAACGCTAGAAATTGGCAAAAACTACAGAAACTACAAGCCAAAGGATCGAGTCATTAAAAAGACAAAGAAAGAACAAGCCAAACAAGGATGATGAATTTTGTAATTTTCCCAAACACATTATTACACAACTTTACCTTCTCAATCAGGCTATTCTTTCCAATTTGGCAACAGCTTCGTCTTCTCAAAACTCCCGAGTTCCCAACTGAAACTGACTCACCGAGTGACAAAGTCGAACTCAGTAAACCAACGAAATAGCTTTCATGACACTGCCTCGGCCGTTGTTCTCAAAACCCATTAGGACAGTACCACCTCCACCTTTACCATCATCCTTCAACAAAACTGCAAAACTGAGTCCAAATTTGAATAGGATCTCTGGGTTTAGTCCCCATGCTTTCAAATTCATCGTCTCCGTGGCTGCCAGCTCTAGACATGGCGTTTCTTCTGACCCTCAACATTCATCGTCTCAGCTGATCCCTTCCAATGTCGACTCCGACTCCAGTTCCTTCCAGAATTCACCAAGTGAAGTAGAAGCCGTTGAGGAATACTTAGACAAGGTACCGCAAGTTATATTTTAATGGCACAATTTTAAGTTTTTAATCAAGTAGCCTCTATTCGGTTTGGCATAGTTTTGATTTTATTTCTTCTTAGCGTTTTTTGTGTGTGGGTGTTTTGCTGGATATGTAGGTAATATACAGATTTCGGTTCATGGCGTTTTTGGGAGTTTTGGGGTCTTTGATTGGGTCGTTTCTTTGTTTCATCAAGGTATGATTATCAAATCGCTGAGGTAGCTTTTATTCTACTTGTAGCCGAACCATGTTTTGATTCTGCTTTTATTTTCTTCTTTTTGTGGTACTAATTTTTTTGATTCTGCTGTTGTTTGTTCTTTTAGTTGTTAAAAATGATTGTTATTTTTCAATTGCCATCTCCAAATTCCTTCCTCTTGTTATCAACGTATAAGGCAACACTTTTCTTTTGTTGATGAGAGATGTCTCGCAGTGGGATGGTTTTCCAGTTTGGCATGGATGATATTTATAGAATGCAAGAAAAAGAAGATTTTGCTAATGGTAGAAAATATAGTATAACAAAAGGGTGAATCTATTAGTTTCCTAATGTATTTGTTAGTTTCCTAGATTCTCTAGTTTTCTAAATTCTAGTAGGATTTCAACTTTTCCAGATTTCCAGATTTCTAGTTTTAAGTTTCCTTTTTCATTTGGGTTAGGATTTCGGTTTAAGCAAGGGATTTTTATCCTATTATGTCTAGGTTTTAGTTTGCTATAAATACCCCCATGTAGTATAGCAAACTTTTGGTTTTCCAGTTTTGCTAATGCAGATTTGAATGTTTAGTAAACCTTTTCCTAGAACTCTCTAATTTCGCCCCTTCGGTCTATATTTCTTCTCCTTGATCTCAATATACTTCTTTGTTCTAGTGTTTCTGCCCTTTATCTCGTCTTTTCGATCTATATTTCTTCTCCTCGGTCGCCTACGGGCTGTACTACATCAATTGGTATCCAGAGCCACACCTCGATTTCGCTTGTTTCTATTCTCTGCCATGGCACCCCAAATCGTGGCCGGCCTCGCGGAACAATGTCATGAGTTCCAAGACAAAATTTCTGATGATATCGCCAGCATTGAAACCCAACTCTCCAAGCTCAGCGCTGAACAAAAAGAAGAGTTGGTACGGGTTCACAAACATCTTGCGATGACGGACCTTGCCATCAACAAACTCCAAGACTCTGTTAATGTGCTTATCAATCACTTTCGGGCTGGAGCGGCGGAGCCTTCTTCTACCTCAGCGGTGCTCTCAAGTTCGTCTACGCTGCCGCCAAAAAGTGGCCTTCTGCCCAATCCACCAGTGGATCAAAAACTCAAGGCCATGCCATACGGCATGCTGCATACCTCAATTGGTCTCTCGCTCGGCACTCCCAAGGCTCAATTGGAGCCCCGCTTTTCTTTTGGGTCTATGTCGCTGCCCCATTATACCCAGCACACAGCAGGCCCTCCTCCAGTGACTACTCAGACTCCTACCCCGCCACCTGTTCCACATGATCAGTACACTCAGCTCCCTCACCATTTTGACAACGATGTCATCCGCCACATCAAGCCTACTGCTCCTACTTTTGATGGTCGTGGGGATCCTACGATCTTTCTTGATTGGGTTCAAGCCATGGAAGATTATTTCGCATGGTACAACTTGACGGATGCTCATAAATTTCGCATTGCTAAGATGACACTACGGGGAGCCGCTAGACAATATTGGATTTCCATGGAGGAGCAACTCTATCAATTTGGACGGCCGCCTGTGACTCTATGGGACGAGATGAAATTGAAGCTTCGCGAACAATATGTTCCCACCGTTTATCGACAGCAATTGTTTGATCAATTATGGACCATTTCCCAAGGAAATTCTACAGTTACTGAATTCCATTCTCGTTTTATTAAACAGAAAATACGTGCGGGGATTCGTGAAGAACCAGGAATCACTGTGTCTCGCTTTATCCATGGTCTTCATGACGATATTCGGCATGAAATCCGTCGGTTTCGTCCTCATTGTTTGGAAGATGCATATTGCCACGCATTGGAAGCTGAAACATATTTGCGGCCTCAACATTTGGGGTATTGTGGCCAGCCTGCAACCGCCAACCAAACTCTTCCTACTACGGGTATGCAGTTGGGGTTTTCAGAACCATCTAACCCTACTGCACCGCCACCTAACAAAGGACCGGCTGTTTCTACTAATCGCATTGAATGTTTCCATTGTCATGCCAAAGGACATATTGCCTCTCGTTGTCCGCGGCGAACTTTAACTATCAACACTCCCGATAATGAGCTTTGTGAGATTGTGGAGCCTCTCGAAGGTGTCTATGATCCAGACATCAATGATTGCAGACCCTCGTCCCCTATTATTCATACTTTCAGTTGGCGTCATCGTTGTTAATTTACATTTTGTGGTTGTTTGCTCATTGGAGTCGAGTTCTTTTTGCCGGGGGAGAATGATGCAGTACGCGTAGGACCTAAATTTATTAGTTTCCTAATGTATTTGTTAGTTTCCTAGATTCTCTAGTTTTCTAAGTTCTAGTAGGATTTCAACTTTTCCAGATTTCTAGTTTTAAGTTTCCTTTTTTATTTGGGTTAGGATTTCTGTTTAAGCAAGGGATTTTTATCTTATTACATCTAGGTTTTAGTTTGCTATAAATACCCCCATGTAGTTCTTTAAAATGCAGATTTGAATGTTGAGTAAACCTTTTCCTAGAACTCTTTGATTTCGTCCCTTCGATCTTTTCTTCTCCTCGACCTCCGCTATTCTTCTTTGTTCTACTGTTTCTGCCCTTTATCTCATCTTTTCGATCTATATTTCTTCTCCTCGGTCTCTTATATTCTTCTCTGTTCTATTGTTTAAGTGCTTAATCTAACACCTACGGGCTGTACTATATCAGAGGGTATTGTACTTTTTATTTATAGGAAATCGAAGATTTCAGAAGAGAGCTCCTCAAAGTGATGCAACCACCAATTCCAATAGAAATTTATATAAACACAAATGCCAACCAATTTTATTGAAAAAAATGTCCCACAACTTCCAAAGCTGCCAGCAATACTTAACTACCAAGAGCGCTAAATGTAAAGAAGGTTCTGGTAGCGAAAAGTTCAGTTTAGCCAAGCTGGGATAGTATCTCTTGAATTTGAGCTGTTGGTTATGCCTTTGGTCATAACCTAGCTAGTTGTTCATCACCACGTTGAACCTTTTCTAGTACAAATGACAATATACCACATGTTCTGTTCTTTAAAGAAAAACTGGATATGAAGCTATAGGCATGGTAGCTTGATCGTGCATTTCTATAGGCTATCAAAGACGTACTGCATTTCTATTATGTTTCAACAGTATTCTATTTTTTTCTCTTCAAGTAACCAAGTTTCCTCCAACAAATGTGCAATAACAGTTGTGGATTTGTTATGTATCTAGCATCCTGCCCAATATCGATTGCTATACCCAACAATTTGGGTATGAGGTTTCTATTAACCAATATTACCCATTGTGGAACCACTTTGGATTCCAGAAAATTTGATTGACTGCATTCATTTGCTGGTATTCCCGGTGTGATATAATTTGGTTGTTCTATCAGATTGTTTCCCAACTTCAGTTATTCTAATATTTTTTTTTTCTTTCTGAAGTGGCATTCCCATTGGCATGGTTATGTATCGTGGTTGATGTGGCTGTCACTGTATCCCCCTCCTTTTTTTTTTTTAATTAGGAAGTGAAATTTTAGTAGTAGGGATTAGAAATTAAGAGTAACATGATATCCTATAGAATTTTGCTTTTACATTGATCTTATTACACATGTAAGCTTCCTCATAGCATTGGTTTACAATGTTTACCCTGATATGCAGGGCTGCACTTATGTTGTACAGTCTTTCATGGAATACTCTGTAAATCGCAGTAAAGTGATCTGGTCGCTGGTTGAGGCCATTGGTGAGTGTATAAATATTATTTTTGTCACGATTTATGTTTTTAAGTTTTGTTGTCGGTGCTTTAAGAACCATGAAACAAATATTGGTTTTACTAAAGATATTTTTCAATCTATAGAAAGAGCAAGCAAGAGGAAGAATGCAAAGAAATGGTTTATCTTTGATTTGACAGACAAGAAAAGAACAGAGCTTTTAACTTCTGGAGTAATGAATTTAGTTAGAGATCTACAATTTCCAATTATAAAACTTTATACTAGCCCCTGAAGTTTATGCATTTTCACTCATCCAGTGTTGATATTCTGAAGTTAAGGACATAGAGGTACAATTAAAATTAGAAAAATTTGCAGTCATTAGGCTTAACTGAGATTAGTTTGAGTTATGATTAAGACAGTTGATGATTTGCTCTCTTGTTGGACGATAGTTCCTTTTTGTGCTATGTGGTGTATTTGGAGCACAGTTGCTTTGTTTGCTATTCAATCATGACAGTCTATTTGAATTCGTGTTTTTGTTTTTCATTTTCTCTGGGATATATGATCCATTTAGTCCGTTTGGATTGTAAACTTTTGCCATAATGATTTCCCTACATACAGAGAGTGGTTGTTTGTGTTTCAGGAATCGCATGTCTTTGAACTTTTTGCATGCAAAACTTGTTATCAAATTATTCGTTCATATTTAAAAAGTAGGACTAACATGTCCGCTGTGATTACGACATAAAAATTAAAAAATGATATAAGGATGTCATATATAGTGTTTGGTTATACAAAACAAATATACCATTTGCAAATGCCTGGCCTACATATATTATCCTGAACCTGAACCAAAACAAAACAAAAACAAAAATTGAACCACCACTTCTAAAAGCACCTTAAGGAGTTGCAGTTAGAGTTAGACTTGACACCATCAGTATTAGAAATTGAACTTCTCTGTGAACTTGGGAATGTAGGTGATGCAGAATAATAAAATAAAACGAGGGCGTACGTCCCTCTGTTGAATTCTATTGTTCATACATGTTTGCTTTCTGGTTATACAGTCATATATTCAACAAATGACTCGCTAACTATTGTTTTTTGGAATTTTTAGATGTCTATCTTTTGGGAACAGTGATGTTGGTGTTTGGAATGGGTCTTTATGAGCTCTTTATCAGCAATCTCGACATTGTGAAGTCTTCACAAGAGAATAAACCTACTGACAGATCAAATCTTTTAGGCATGTTCATGCTGAAGGTCAGACTGAATTTTCTCATATCTGAGCAATATTCGTAGCTATATTTTTAGTAATACTATTTTACTTTCTAGGATTAGTGGGCAATGCTAGAAGATACATGAATGAAATGTTGTAAAGTGGCCAACTAACTGCTGAAGTTTTGAAAATAAGAGGCGGACTTTCATTGCCCATGAAATAGGTGTTTACATCATTCTTCTAGTAGTATGATCTAGAAATCAGCCTTGAATTATGTTAAGCCGACAAGAAAAGCAAAGAAAGTAGCCTTGAATTAAGGAAATCTAAAATGCTGCAGACAGCCTATATTAGCAAACACTAACTAAAGTTGAAAATTCTTATGCAAAATGCCCTTAGGGTAGGTCCTTGATTATATTATATTATATTAATTTATTTTTTCAGTCAAAAGTAGTTTTTTAGGTTGAGTATCTTGGCTAATTATGGAGTTTATCTCAATTAATTATCTATATTTCAGTTTCTATGGGCTGTATATTTTATGCAGCAGTGAATTATCATTTTACTGTTCAATGCATTCATATGTATGATCCTACTTCGAAAAAGAAGTGGTCAAAATAAGTCTTGTGTCCCCTTGAACTTTGAAAATGTTGCAATGTAGAGCCTACTGTCAAATGCGTCTAATTCTGTTGAATTTTTTATATGTGAGGATATTTTCATCACTTCCTTCTTCTTTCTCCCCTCTCCTTTCTCCTGTCTCTCTTTGTCTTCCCGTATCCATTTCCTTCTCTCTTCTGCGAATTCTCAAAACAGGGGTAAAGGGATGTTGCATCTGGAATTGGTATGGTGACTTGTACATTTGCAATGGCTATCTATGGAATGGCCATGCCTCTAAGACCACCGTATGATGATATCGCTGGCTTTGACCAATCAGGGAAACCCATATTTTTTTGGTGAATTCCATTTCTGTTTCTCACCAGTCTATGAATGTATGGAGGAGTCATATGGGTGCTCAACATGAGATACATAACTTAAAGGGAAGAATCTATATGATGCTTGAACAAGAATTGAATGGGGAGTTACACAAGCTTTACCCTTTAAACACAACTAAAAAGTCATTGAAACACTTCACAGACACAGTTGCCATACCCAGAAGTTGCCTCGATATGCTTGAAGTGTAATGAATGCAAACCTCAAAAATTGCTGGCGCCAACAATAATAACAACTTTATGTCCCAGAGGAGAACAGTAATAGCACTTAAAAGGAATAATAAGAACAATGTAAGGTAATCTATGCCAATAATCTGGAACTATGCTCAAAGACTTGGACATTATTTACAAACTCCTCTAACTAATGTTTCAAAACAAAGTAGAAGAGAATGGAAAGGATGAGTGCAAAATCTAAAGAAACAGTCCCTCCGACCCAGATTTTTCAAGCTTCTCAATTTCTTCTGGGTGCTCTCTCTGTCTTTATCCTGAAGATCTGTTTCAAGGTCCTGAGTTTTTGGAACTGTGGTTTCAGACAAGAAGCAAACGTTGGTGGCTTCTCAACTGCTCCAGCTTCCCTATGACATCCACTGGGGAGGGTGGTGGTTATTTATTGCCTTATCAAATTGTGCACCTTTCTGTAGTGGCTATACAACTGAAATTTCTCTTATTCATTCAGATTTCCCCTGTTGTCCGAGCCAGTGGTAATATCAACCAGATGGGTCTTGGCATGCCCACTTCACCATAGCCATTCTAGATACACATGTCTTTCACCCTTGTTCTGAGAATTCACAGAAGAGAGAAGAAAGGGGAAGGAGAAAGAAAAGAGAGGAGAGAGGAACTGACGAGAATCCCCTAAAAAGGGGGTTGAGTGGGAGTCACACATCAAAGTTCATGGGAAATTGGACAGGTTTGGCAGCCCTACATTGAAACTTTTATAGCTTCAGGGGGCACCACTGGCAATGATTTTTCATTTTTCCAGGAGGCAAAGTGCCACACAGGCCAAAGTACAAGGGAAATAAGTGAAAGTTTTCAGTATTAGTATATGTAAAAATAAGAATTTTACAGAGTAGAGTTAGTTTTATAAACTTTTACTCTCTTCGTTGGGATTCGGATGAAACCATGGATGCTTCTTGTTGGAACAAAAGGTCATAATTACAGTTGTGGTTTAACTTGCAACATCTGTAGGCTAAGTTGACTTGTATAAATGTATTGAGCTTTTGATTTCCTTCCTTTTCACAGGAACGACCAAAATGGTTAGATATAACAACTGTGAACGAGCTGAAAACGAAGCTTGGCCATGTTATAGTGATGCTACTTCTAATTGGGTTGTTCGAGAAGAGTAAGAAAGCAGTTATACAATCTCCTTTTGACTTGCTTTGCTTTTCTGCCTCTGTCCTCCTTTCTTCTGGTTGCCTGTTTTTATTGTCTAAGCTCAAGGAATAGAATTGAAAATCAACGATAGATAGCTTCTGAATACACGGTATATATTTTTCACACAGCTTGTGAATGAAATATGTGTAAAGAACACCTATGTGGTGAACAGTTTACTTTTAGCAGAGATCAAAATCTTAACCATTCAATTTCTAGCACATTGTTGAAGTTTCTACAATAGAATCGTCTACTGAACCATGTACCTGTTTTAAGCCACCAGAAATGTTAAAAAATAATGTCATATATGCCATAATTTAGCCCATGAAAAATTCTGTAATGATCATGATGTCTTGAACACGTAGTTATGACATGTATTAATTTTTTTAAAACTAGTTTAGATGGTTAGTTAATAAAAATGGAATTGATACATATTTCATGCTCATAATGCTTTTTTATCATTTAACAAAATAGCTTTTTATTTGTATTTTTTTCGTAATGGAGCGGGTCGGGGAATCTATACCTCAATGAAGACGGGGATGGGAGCAGGTGTTAAGGAGGCTATAAGGAAAAATGCTTAATGGGGATGAGAATAGAAATGACATACTCACCCCGAATCAACCCATTGCCATCCCTACTAAGTTAATCTTAAATAGCCAAGCTGAGCTAAATCCCAAATATTTGGGCTGGGCTAGTATCTCCCGGTCCGATTAAATGTTTGTTGACTAAATATTCAAGCCTATCTCCACGTAGGATTAAATGTATGTCAACCCGATATTTAAGCGAAAGATCCAAGTTGAAAGGGCTCGAAGAGTGAACCACATGAATATTGCCTACCTCACCCTAGACTTACTCCTAAAAAGTAGGAGCTAAGCTGAGGAATAAAAAGTAGGAGCTGAGGTATATTTGGAGTAGATTCCAAGGTACGTGGTGTTAACCCAAAGGACTTTTAATGCACGAGAAAAGAGTCTTATTCTTAGAAAGGGTTCGTGTCTACTAGGAGTTAGGACGTGGCCATCCAAGAATATTGCTCTTAGAAGGATCAGGTTATCTGGAGAGACCACTATGAAACGGTAGCATGACCTTTTCTCAAAGGTATGTAATTCTAAGTACCAGAAACTCTCATATCCTTTGTTATGAAGTAGTCGACTCGCTTAGGCATCAAAGGGTCTTTGGCTCACACCGCATCAGTGTTCCCCACTCCCTCCCCCCCTAGGGCGGTTACACAGGTTACGGTAAGCTAGTTTGAACGAATTGCCCAACCTCGACCTTGAAGAGGTCATCCCGTTGTTGAACCAAATTTAGGCATAAACAACCTAATTGGTAATGATTTTGTTGACAAAATATTAGATTTTGAGTGTGCATGACCATTGACAACTGCATCAATCAACAAAGAATGAGCAAGAATGCTGATATGTTTGTTCCCTTTATGTAATACTTAAATCAGCATACATATGCCAAAGCATGCTTGCATTGCATCGTTTATGTACTCCACCAAATAATGGTGACACAAGCATTGACTATTGTGTTTACCCTAACCACAGCCACGATCCCTTCACTTTAAGGGCTAATATGGGAATGGAGACGGGTGCAGGGAAGGATAGCTCATCAAGAAATATAGGGAAATTGATTGACGCCAAGAGAGATACCCAAACCATGCAGCAACCACGAGAATTTGTTGCACTCATTACAAAACACACCTAAATCGTTGTTGTCGCCTCTATCGAGACAGAGGCCAACACCAGCCACCTGACACCACGTAGCCGCAGCATGTGGTGCCGCAATCCTTACAATCACAACCAACATAAAGAACATGCAAACAAAAACAACCAACAAACCCATGATCCAAACAGATTCGGGCTAAAAACAACCAAGATCCAAGTAGATCTTGGCACACCCGCCCAAATACTCCAACTTCACCACAACCCAGTCAAGGTTTTCCCTCAAGAGGAAACACCCAGCAAGAAGATAGAGAAATTGAGGCAGGAATAGGGAAGGAGGAAAGAGAAAGGCGGAGGGAAGAGACAAGAGTAGAGGAAGGGATGAGGGGAGGAGGGGCAGTGACCACCCACTACAAGAAAAATAGGCTAATGTGACCAAAAAACTTCCTCACATTAGGCAAAATTTCCTCGCAGTTACGTTAAAGTGACCATATTCTGGGGTCACAAGGATCGTCACATTAGGCCCTTTACCCTATGTCAAATGTGACGACTATAACTTAGTGTCACATATAATACACTGTGATGATGTATGAATTTGTCACTGTTTACAATATGTGACTTCTCGTGTTTTGTCACATTGTCTCTTTTGTGACACATAACAATAGGTCACCTAATTCATTTTTTGATGATTGGCAAGTGGTCACATGGTATCTAATATGACGACAGACAAGTTGTCACAGTGTTCAATTTGTGATGCTTTATAAATTGTCACTTTATTTAAAATATGACATATAACAAATTGTCATATTGTATAATTTGTCATGCCTAAAAAACTCATCATCACAATTGATAATACGTGTGAATGATTTCATGACAGTGATCCTAATAAATATAATAGATTAATAATATCCAAAATAGCATATCAAAGTTAATCATATATCTAAGGTTTTAAACACGCTCAATATCCAAAATAACATAATATAAACATGTAAATCTGATCCTAGGTTGTTGCCGACGGCATCAAAGCTGCACGCAACATTGACATCAACTGTGCATTATCCAGCCCACCATTGTTGGATGCCTCTAGAGCTGCCACCAAATTAGCCCTTAAATTTGAATAATCTTCCTGCACACTTTGCATATTTGTGGCAAGCATCTGTAGTGTATCTTGTAACTTGCTAAGCTCAGAATTAGAAGCTCCAGAAAAACCAATTGGTGAGATATTGGCTTCCCCCCACGCTGTAGCGTGTCTCAGATTGCTGTCATCTCTCTTGGATTGTTTTTATGAAACAATTAGATCAATAACAGCAGCAGTTGCTGCCAGATGAACTGCATCTTCTCGTCTAAACATCGTTTAAGGAAAAAGAAAAGATCCCAAAGGCTAGGCATACTGATATTCCAAATGTCTAGCCTGGACATGCTGCAATAATATTATTCTTGATACATCACATGGTGCTGAATGGTCAAGCAATAAAGACAGAGAAAAAGGAGATATATATCTCCCCAACCTTGTGGGCTGGCCTAGGCTATCACCGTACATATATTAGGGGTAATAATAAGGTGTCATTTTAACAAAGGGAATCCACTATGCTGTGTGTTCTAACATAGTGAATTAAGTGTATTCTAATTGGATGCATTCTTTAATGTTCTTTTTTTTGCTCAACTGCAAGTTTCAAATGTGCTATAGGCCAGAAAGGTACGCATTTCAAATGTGCTATGCAGTGTGTGTATATGTATATACTGAAATTCTCTTATTCGGACATTTGGATGTTATTATCGTGCGGACGCCATATATTTTTCATTATCTCTCTCTGCTTTTCTCCATACTTACAATGACATCCACACGATAATAATGTATGAACGTCTGTATAGAAATTCTTATATATATATATATATATATATCTTTGATGTCATTGAATATGAGCCCGACAGAAGATGATCGAGTGCTAATGATTTTTCTTATAATGGTCAGTGGTGGAGCCAAGGACGGACCCAGGATTTGAAAATTACATGGGCTAACCTTACGTACAAACTTATTGAAAACTTGATGGTACAAATGAATTTCATTGATAACAAAAAAATACACAGGGGACATAATATGAGAGCCTTACCCCTCAAAAACCCTGTATCCGATACTACTATTAAAATAATATATATTCAAAATAGTCATTTTCTAAATTAGCATAATTGTTACCAGAATTCCCCAAAAAACAATAGCCCAATACAAAGGTGGAGGAAAAAGATCTCTGTGGACTTGAGAAGAAGCAGCCTTGGAACTGGTGCACTCGATCGATAAGAGTGTTGGGTTTGTTTTCTAGTTGGTTAGCCAGCCTAGTGGGGATTAGTTAATAAGATTGGCCAAAGCTAGGGTAGTATTTTAGTCTTTGAAAAAACAAGTCTCCTGGGCTATAGCTCAGGTTAGCTTGTTAGTAATACTGTCCCTAGAGCTTGACTTTCATTTCCTTAATGTGCAAGTGGCTGAGAGAGGACATGCATAGTAGTCAAATTTCAATAGGTATCCGTCTAGATCACGTACGTACTGTTAATGTATGCATTTTGAGTTTTTCTTTTGGCTTCCCTTGACAACTTTGTAATAAGATTTTTATTGTGTTTAACAAACTCAACCTTAGATTAAAAATAGCTTCTCTAGGTGTTCTTAACTAACAAATATCCTATAGAGGTTCAAGCAATTTGACAAAGGTAAGATGTGCATTGCATATCATTGCATTATACTGTTTTTATAAAATGATGACTAGTCATTTGTTTCTCGTATGACTAGTCATCCTTGCTTTGTTGGATTTCCAGCTGGATAATCAACTTCTTTGTCCTATTCTCTTTTCTCTTTCTGCTGCCAGGTGTGATTCTGACCTAAAGGAATTTTTGTCTGTAAAGGCTAATATTTCATCTATGAGTTTTTCCTATTGATTTCTTTTTGAAAAACTGCATTGGAAATACAAATCTACGTCTAGCTTCATAAAACACTCTCTCATTTATATCTAGGTCAGAGTCAAGATTGATTTCTTCAAGAGTATGGTTTCTTGAAGAAATTGGTCATTCTCCTTTGAAGTGGTTTCAATTTGAGTTGGAGCTTGCAAGCTTGTGCCATGGGATGAATGAGCTAGAGAAGAAGCTGTCATTGCCATGAAGAACTGAGCTTCAAATTTTGCTAAGTTGGAGAAGAAGATTGCACGAAGGAGGTATA